CGAGCGAGTGCTTAATTAAACGAGTTTCTATAAAAGTTTATAAACGAGTTCTAAAATACTCATTTACTTACACATCCCGTGACTAAAGCGCCATAAAGCCGCAACTTGTCAATGTGTATTTAAAAGGTAGAAAAAATAATTTATCATCAGCAAATAGTATATTATGTATCAAGTTTAATATAAGCCATTTTATACACGAATTTAATTTAGGCACGAGCGAGCTTGCGAGCGAGTGCTTAAATTAATGAGTGTATAGAAAAGTTTATAAACGAGGTGCATACTATACTTTTTCTACGACAAATACTTATTATTATCTTAAAATGATTTAAATAAAAAAGTTGTATAGAGCGCCATCTATGAAACAATAGGGGAATCTGTGTGTCACCGTCAAATGTCAAATTTTTATAAACACAATTATAAAGGTTATAAATCGAAATGTATTTCTTGAAAATTGACAGTTTTTCACAGTGAAAGTAAAGAAAATGTTTTATGAGCACTTTACAGTGGAGTCCGTGCCCGAATTTAAGTTTAGTTTACTGCCGGCGAAATTAAAAGGTCAGTACAATGTTCATATAAACTTTTTAAATATTGGCGTTGAGAAACTATTTAATAATTTTGTATTTTTGTATTGAGATAATAAAATAATTTTCACATTTAGTATTATTTTACAAGAAAGGCACTTTATTTTAACGATTGTATGACATTTGACAACTGTCAACTAACTTAAAACTAACTTCAGCCCGTGACTAAAGCGCCATAAAGCCACAACTTGTCAATGTGTATTTAAAAGGTCACTTAGTGTCATGGAAACATGTATGATAATGGGAGTAGAAAAAATTATTTATCATCGGCAAAAATTCATTTTGAATTGTTGATGGAATTTCCTAAAAGAAATATCACTATCACGATTAAAATTAAACATAATTAAATGATTAAACAATAATAATTTGAATTTAATAAAAAACATCCTGAAGGCTTGCGAGAGATGAAAGAGGAACAATGACAGAAGAGCAACGTAATAGAGGTAATTATTTTAGCGCATTCCCTCACTAAACTATATAATTATATGACTAACTTATTACACAGCCTATATAATTAAAATTATTTTAAACTCCATTGCCCATTGTGCATCGACTAATCGAATTACTCGAACAGAAAATTTATATTTGCTAAAGCTATAAACCAATCGGCAATTAACCTTACAGCAAAAACACTTACTTGGATTTTTTTTTTGGCTAAGAGCTCCACGGTTTTATTTTGATTGTTGAATAACATATGATGGTGGAAAATCAAACCTAGGTTTAAATGTTAAAAACAGTTTTACATGGGCATACGATGCGAGAGAGATAGTTTTAGCGTATCGTGGGCTAGATAAGAGAGTTTGATCAACGTGCGGGGTAAATATTAAAGCAGAAATCCTGCAGCTTAGCCAGGGCGCAGATGAGATTAGAAATATCAATGACAGCCGAGCGACTCAATCTATCTTGAGGTCCTGAAGGAGAGAAGGACCGTGGCTCCCAATTGCGATCCTTTGGGATGCCTACCTGTTCCTGATTTATCACTAGTCCGTTCCACTTTCCGTTCAACTTATCCTTTGCTTCTTCCCGATCCTTGATATTTAGCGAGATTTACTGGATTCCGCTAGAATAAATTATTTGGAAAACTTACATAGAAATAATAGAACAGACGGAGGATACAAATTGCAAGGCACCCCAAGGAATAAATAATCGACCACTGTACATCCAGAAAACATTAACGATTCAATAATCAATTTTGAGAATCCACCTAGTATACTAGGTACATCGTGAGAAAGGTCTTGATAATTATAAAAGTGGACGGCAAGAAATATGAAATCTTATATCAAGTTATTAAAGAGGAAAAATGAGCATAAGTCATAATAAATTTTTCCTTTGTGATTCGAGAAGAGTTATTAGTCCTTTATCTTGACGGATCACGTAAGTTACCGAGGCGACATTGGAACTATCAGTCTGCCGGAGCCTTTCTCCTATATTATATTAGGTTAGTGTCATAGCGTTATGGATTGGCCCCGTCTCAATCAATGACCCTACCATTTGAAGGGCAAGCCGACCATATAGTCTATATGTCACTCCTGAAAAATTACCACCTCGAACAACAAAATGACAACTTATAATTTTATTTACAGAACATATTGCCCTCATTTATCAACAAAGATTAGAAAAGAAATAGTTGCTATTATTATTGTAGAAAGGCTCGTTAACATTCCGAAGGTATGACATTTTGTACATATGGTACACTGGAAGAAGAAAACTTAAATTTAATTTTTAATAATAATACCATTGAGATCTGTAGCAAAACGGTTAAATTAAACCGGCGATTTTTTGCTGTTGAACCATTTAATGGTCTTCCAATTACAGTTAATTATTTTTAGCGAAGAAACCTCATTAATGACGAAATAAAAGCGTGTTATATTGTTTGAGTATAATATGGTAATAAACCTATAGAGATCTGTAATACCGACATAACGTCCGACTAACCGGTCACTATAGCTAATCTATTCAACATTAAAAATACAAATTTACATTACACTCTTTCCTAATGGTTTTTTAATTACCGGCAACAAATGATTGTGGCCGTTCTTCTCTGCCTTTCTGATCGAGATTTTAATTATGCTTCGTAATTAACATGGCGGACTCATGTCAATTTCAATTACATGAATATTAACTATTTAATACTATTTTTTTGGCCAAGGCGCCGCATAATTATAAACAAATTATTTTCCACATCATTACATATAGTTCAATGTTTTTACCAAAACTACATAAATGCGCGCGCGGAGTTGTGCTCAGGCTTTAAAATTGACTTTAATAGGATTAAATTTAATATTAAACAATTTTTGCGTTTAGTAGCTAAACATCACTTATTTGACAAGTTATGTAAAGTATGGCGTAATAAATATTGTAAAATCCAAACATTGATATAATTTTTAATATTAAAATGTAATTTATTGATTAGGATCGGTATAGAAATGAATAAAACATAAGAAGGTTATGAGTTATGATTATTTTTTAATTGGTACCTCTCTCAACGACTTCATAATAATTTATATATATTTCTCGACCACGAAAATTAATCGATAATAAAATAGATAAACCATCAATTCGTTTTATGGTTCCTTGAAACACCTTAAGGACAAAATATTGTCCAATTAGGAAAGCAAATTTATGAGTGATAAATAATAAAAGGGATGAATACAAATTTCGTAACCCCATGGAATATCAATTGGGTTTGGTTGACCATGCAATATCTTATACATCCCCGTTTTTCTGATGTTAAAATATCACCATACAGTTTCAGTCTGAAATGCGACTGATGCCCTAAGCGTGCACTGAATACCAAAACAACATATTTATATGAAACCGCTGGAATTTTAACTTATGATTTCTTGCATACCGTCGCAATAAATATTCGAGAAATTTAGAAATATATCCTTTAAAAAAACAGTATATATATATATATATATATATATATTTCTTAAATCTCTTCGTGCAGTAAAAACAAAAATTCTTGATTAAAACATGTAAATCAATTGGCATGGAAAAAGATTGCCACCCCATGGATTTGCAATCTGCGGGGGTCCAGTTTTCAGACGTTAGGGGATGGCATTAAGTGACACTGGCGTAACCTTCCAAGCTATCGCAAAGGATTAAATATTAGCAGTTACGTAGGCCCGACTATTAAATTAAATTAAAATGTAATGCTGGAATCGCTTATTAAATTAGAACATGCAACTGTACAGCTATTAAGGGCCTCAGTAAACGCCAAGGGTAAGGCATAACATATTAATATTTCCTACACCCCAAAAGTGTCATATCCACTAAATCATTTATGTCACTAACCTTAACCCCCAGGTTTTTTACTTTCTTAGTAATTAACTTCTTAATATAAACTATGTCGAAATCTAAATATAAATTATAATACAGAGTGGATGATTTCAAAATATCCCATATTGAGTTTGGAATTACGTTATCTGCTCGTCAAACCCTTTCATTTGATACCCATGTCAAGGAAATAGTTAATCCGCCATCTTGGATTTAGTATGACGTCTTAAACCTTATCGTTTTCTACTCGTCAAATCCTTTCATTTGATACCCATGTCACAGGGGTGGTTAAGAAATTTCGTCCGCCATCTTGGGGCATCCGCCATATTAAATTTAGAATGACGTCACGTATTCTGCTTGACAAGCTATTTCATTTGATACCCATGTCAAGGAGGTTGTGAGGAAATAGTTAATCCGCCATCTTGGGACAGTCGCCATATTAGATTTTACCTTATTCGGGGTTTTTAAATAGAATCTTTTTACCAGCACCAAAAGTGTGTGCAAAATTTTGACTCAATCAGTTGGATGGGACTGGTTTAAAATTCAGTTGCTAGCAATGTAGCAATTAGCCAAAAATCAAAACGCATTCTGTATTCATTAAGAAGACAGTTACATCTCGCTTACGTTGACATTCTTAAGACAGTTTAAATTGGAAGTATGTCTACTAGTTGGTATAAAATGGTGTAATGTTGAAAACAGTGCATTGGTAGTTAATGATAATTAATATAAAATGATATGGAATCAAATATTGCCGGTTGATCGTGTGGGAGTAGGGACAAGATGTGGAATAATAAACTGTCAACAGTGAGTTATCGTTAAAGAAGGGATCGGTTCGGTTAAAGGTGGACGCGGCCGGTCATTTGAAAATTTACATTGGTTTTTTACGAAACAGTTTAGTGGCCATCTATAGTCAAATGTGCGCCCTGTTGACCGCCAGTGTCTATGCATGGTAACGACTTTTCTTCTTCTACGACCCTCTAGAGATCATCTTACTTTGATATGTATGATATAGTGTATTATCTACGTATTGAATTTTAAGTTATTTATATGGTTATGTCAAGGCCTCCCTCACGTTTCCATTATTCCGCCAAATCTCACAGGAATTGACAAATAAATTGTTTTATTTCTTAACGCACTTACCATGTGTAACCCATCCATGTTTACAGGTCTCGCAGTATCGAATATGACGCTTTCCAGCAACGAAGCATTCACAGCTACAGTTTGGAACAGTACAGCGGATAGCCTGCAAATAATAAACGATACATTGTAAAAAGGCGAGAAGTTATTTCTTCCGAAAAAACATAACATATATCATTTTAAATGTACTTATGACAATGCTTAAACACTTTCTTAGCTAAATGACAGAATAAGCTGATTTCAAGCTTATTAAGAAATTACATAATTTACCAAGTTTGTATTCATTTAAATATTCTAAATTTAATAACTTTTTACTTGAGTTTACGATATTTTGACCTAAGTAGATATTGTTGACGTTTGACATTATAGGTTATGTACACTCATTTCACGTTGTTAGGCATCGATTAAACACTCGCTCGCAAGCTTAATAAAACTGACGTAATATATTATTATTTTTGAAAATCATTTAATTATCTTCTCGGGTTCCAGATTTTTAACCGCAATTAATAATTTTTACAATGCTTTAAAAGTCTAAAACCTATCCTCCGTGACTCTTTCTAGGTTAACCTATATGTGTTCAAATATCTGAGGTAGTAAAAGCATACTAAAAATATCAGTTCACAAAGTAAATTAAACACATCCAAAGCAATCGAATCAAATATAAAATATTATTAAAAATTAAAAGAAATAACCATTTATGTAGGTGTTACAAAAATTAATTCTATCCTCCGTTATATTATAGGTGCATGTGATTCCTGAAGGTCAGATATAATTTATATGCAGATGAGAGTGTTGCTGTTTTATAATTCAAAAGTTTAAGTTCATTAATTTGCTATTTAAAAACCTATCCACCGTAAAGTGAAATATCTCAGTAAGTAGATTTTTTTTTTATAAATATTTTAAGTATGTACAATTGTATTTTTAAAAAATATTAAGGTGTCAAAAGATACAATAACTTATTTCAAATATACAAAGGGATGTTTAAAAAAAACATACGAAATCCTAACCTCCGTGAAGCTATCTTCCGTGAAGCTATCTTCCGTGAAGCTATCTTCCGTGAAGCTATCTTCCGTGAAGCTATCTTCCGTGAAGCTATCTTCCGTGAAGCTATCTTCCGTGAAGCTCTAATATTCAAAATGTATGATTTCTTAAAACCACTTATGTTATGTTATTACTAGACCTGGTGGCTTCCCAAAAACCCCATTCTAGACTAACATTGAAACAACCAAAAATAAAAAATTATCATTTTTACTTGGGGACATCTCAATATATTCACCCATAAAGTATATAAAGTCTTTCTATAATAAATATAGGCTATGAGTGTTTTAATATAGAAAAAATCATGGCATGAAAAAAGATTGCATTGAAAAATAACAAAACAAAAATGTAAGTGATGAAGATGTAAGCAGAAGCTTTTAGTGTTTATTGTTTGTCATATTGCAAATTCAAATAGAGATTATGAAAATGTGAAGGAAATAAAGATGAGCTTTTTTGATAACGCATAGAAAGTAAATATAACGTGCATTAGTAAGATTTTGTATAGTCATGGTATGAAAAACTAGAGTGCACTCAGCTAACATAAAAAATAAGTCGTTTCAAAATTATGACGTGAAGAGTAATGGTTGGTCTATGTTTTCATATGGCATACATTAAACGAAATTTCCATATAATAAATTAATATAAATAATAAAATCGATCAATATAGAAATTGTTATGAGATGCCGCTATTGAAAAAATCCCATTGACGATGTCAAGTGTATGTATGTATTATTATTATTATTATTACAAGGAATGTTCATTACATTTTCTTGTTGGATTTTTTATAATGCCGATAGAGTTATTTCTCAGCGATACAAACTGGTTTGGGTTTTTTATATTTCTGGACACACGATGTGCTTTAGAACTTAACCATTAATATACTTTAATTACACTAATAAATGCTTTATTAGATATTGAAATATAACAAAAAAGAGACTAATTTAAAGAGCTGGCACGACATCAAATGCCTTTGATAAGCATTACTAATCTAAAATTATTCCTTCCAATCCCGGTCTAGAAAAAAATTGTCACAGTCATCTTATTAAGTTTTTGTATTTTTCCCATTAATTCACAATAGAATTTTGAATGATATGAAATTTAAAATTACCAAGACCAGTTTTGTAGACTACATATTTTAAGTGACTCCATAAGAAAAACTCTAATAATGTCAGATGGTGTTTTGAGAAATTTTTGATATATTTTTTAGGTTCAGAATTTCCGTTTTCAAATAGACACCCTGTGTAGCATACATCATGCTTCTCCCTTATGCTGGGTGATAAAAACTCACGCTTCTTAAAATCAATGTCGAAAATATTTAAATTGGTCCATTTTAAGACTCCCAGCGGAGCTATTGAGGTTGACGCCAATTTTCCTGACATGAAACAATGAGAAAACTCACCCTTCACTTTATTCTTTCTTATTAAGTAAAGGGATCGCATTAATTTTTATCTTTTCACGAAGAAAAAAAAACCTAAGCTTCTTTGCTTTTTCAGCTTTACACCGTTTAATCACCTTTTGTTCTTACCTAATAATCGTCCATCAAAAATAAAATAGACCAATAAATTTAAACGATAGATTGTCTTTGAGCAGAATAATAAATTGAGATCTATTCGAGATTTCTAATTAGTCAAACTATGTGCATAAGCACGAATGTACACACAATTTGAAATTGATATCTGCTAGCAAACGAGTAGGTGTTTGCCCTTTTTACTTTTCAATTGCGCAACAAAAGCCTCCAGCCTTAAGTAAATGAAAGGAATACTTAGCTTGTTCAATGCATTATTCCATCAAAAAATGCCTTCGATGATTGGGATAATCGTTTGGAGAATTTTTTTGTCTCTTTCTATATACCCAACTCCTTAAGGTTCCATGTTAAACCTTGTTCTTTACTAACATGTTAGTCTACTAGGATTTTTATAGTTGAGTGCTTTTGTTATTTGGTCACAGCTCCTTTGGAATAATGGTGAGCAATAAAACGCGGAAGAAACATTAAAATCCAAGTGAAAGAAAAGTATCCAAAGTAAAAGGGTGAAAATATGAGTGAACAGAAAATTAAAACAAGACACTTTATAGTGGATGAGTTCCCTAGACAGATGTTAATTAAAACATGACAAAAATTACTGCTTTAAAATTACCTTATGAAATTAAACTTTTATTACCTGAAAACTTTATGGAAATTCATTAAGTTGAAGAAGCAACATTTTTAAAAAAAATAAAATATAATCAAACTTGCCTAACTATTTTCGAATAAATTTTACTTGAGATGCTTCTAATTAAACACATTAGCAACCAACTCCAACATTTTAATTAAATTTATAACTCGGCAAGAATTAACTTACAAAATATACTGGTCAAAAACAGTTTAAAAGTTGCTAGTTTTTTATTTTAATTTTTCAGGCTGATTTTATTGATTTGTTTGAAGCTCATTTAATTACATATTATACACTCACAGGCAAAATAATCGATCCACACAAATTTTCGATGAATTTCAATCGCAAATAACTTTTTTATTTGATGTCGGATTTAAACGAATATTAAAGAATATTGTGGATAAATTAATGAAAATTCGCTCACATTTTAAAAAATTATTAAAAAATAGACGTACGTTTATAATATACAGGTTTAAACAAAAAGATGTTTTTTACCATAAGTTTACGACACTCTGTAGAGTGGCAAAACCGTATATTGTTCTAAATTAAGTTTTATTTATCAAGTCACATCTATTCTTAACAGTTTTGTTTTTGGTTCACCTCGATATATTATTTATTTTTGTGGAAAATATGGATTTAAAAAAAAAAATTCCAATATTTTTCTGTATGAAGAACTAAGGTTGCTATGGTCCATCCATATTCTATGGAGAATGGTAGTGACAGTTTTATTGAATCATCCCATACTTGGACATGTCATACACGGCTTTCAAAAGCTATCAAATTGTTTTTTGCAAATTAATGTTTAAATTTTAAGGTGTCCCCGACTGATGTTGCCAGAGCAATTAATTTAATCCAGGATGGACTGTCACAGTATTACGTGGCAAGTGTTTTAAACGTCACAAGAAGTAAAAGGCAACATCAGTCGGAGACATTTTTAAAAGTAAGAAGATACCTCAAAATTAACACATTAATTTATAAAAAACAATTTGATAGCTTTTGAAAGCTGTATATGACATGTCCAAGTATGGTATGATTCAACAAAACTGTCACTGTCATCCTCCGTAGGCTATGGATGGACCATAGCAACCTTACTTTTTCATACAGGAAAAATATTGGAAATTGCAATGTTTTAAAAAAAAATCCATGTTTTCCACAAAAATAAATATATCAAGGTGAACCAAAAACAAAACTGTTAAAAATAGATGTGACTTGATAATTAAAACTTATTTTAGAACAATATACGGTTTTGCCACTCTTAAACTTATGGTAAAAAACATATTTTTGTTTAAACCTGTATATTATAAACGTACGTGTATTTTTTAGTAATTTTTAAAATGTGAGCGATTCTCCATTAATGTATCTACAATATTCTTTAATATTTGTTTAAATCCGAAATCAAATAAAAAGTTATTTGCGATTGAAATTCATCGAAAATTTGTGTGGATCGATTATTTTGCCTGTGAGTGTAGTTAGGATTTTGAAGTAAGTATATGGTCTAGTGGTTAGAAAACTTAGCTAAAAATTAAATTTTGATTATTTAACACATTTTCTCAGTTATTCGTTCTCTTGGCTCTTTTTGTTCGATTTCGTCCGGCTTAAAAAGCACATTGCCAAATTTAAGGCCATTACGCGACGCGTCGCCTGTGTCTTATGTCGAAAGTAATCGCTATTATAGTCGAAAAATTCCTTTTAAAATAGCATTTGTGGGCAATATTACGTGACATTACATAAATTATTGCTTGCGTTTGCCGATTCTCGAGCCATTAAGTTTCCACTCTTGCCACATTACGCTGTAAAGTCTTTGCCAAGGGGGCATCAGCCCTAAAGTTGATACATGCATGTTTTTATTTTGTATATTCTAAGATTTAGAATTGATTGGTTTACCAAGTTGTCCTAATATAATCTTGGCAAACAAAAT